CCAGAACTAGAAGAGAACTGTCTAATTTTTAGCAGAACTATCAATATGCGGCCAGCATATCACATATATGTACAAAATGCGTGTTTTCGGGTAAATAATTGTTAAAAATTTTCTAATTATTTTAGTCGTCAGAACTCTTTGGAAAAGCAATGTACTGGCTCAGAACTACACGAAAACTACTTTAATTATCAACAGAACTATCAATATACGGCCAGCATATCACATATATGTTCAGTGTCCTCTATTTTTTATCTGCTAACTTTCCGTAGCAGATCATTTTTTTCGATCGGTGTTTTTTTTATAAAATCACCAGAACTATCATTAAAAACTATCAGGAACTATAGAACTCGACTGCATGCGACAAGAACTCTCTTTTATTTTTGATCTGCTAGAAAATGATCTGCTACGGGAAGTTAGCAGATCATTTTTTCGATTGGTGTTTTTTTGGATAAAATCACCAGAACTATTAGTAAAAACTGTAAGGAACTATAGAACTCGACTGCATGCGACAAGAACTCTCTTTTATTTTTGATCTGCTGGAAAATGATATGCTAGGTTCACGAACATAGAAAGTCAATTGTAAATATAGTTTTATAAATAATTAATAATAATAATTAATAGCTGTTGTATGATTATCGCATTCATAGATACGCCTCAAACTGTTTTTTATCAATTTTTGTGTGTGTGTGTGATACTGTTACTTTTGTTAACAATATCTCGATGAATTTAATGTTCTTGCAAAATCTGCTAAAGTCCTCCCGATTTCCCTGTGTCGGCTCCATCAATTCTTCGGCCGTCACCTGCAAAAGATAAATTTATCTTAAAGAAGACCGACCGTAACGTGATTTCTTTACGAGTAGAACGTTCTTTCTGCAACCAAAGTCCGTAACTGTTTCACTCTTAATCACGGGCAACCGTACGATGCGAAGCTTATTTTACGGCTGTTTTAGTTCTGCGCAAGAGCCGCAATAACTTAATTAAATCCGACTTACTTAATCCGGCTGCCGCTAAACCACTTTGATTTTAAAATAGCACGATTGCGCGAAAAACGACATTATCTCGGTGCGCTTCTTTTCAAGTTTTACGCACATCTTTGCAAACAGTTGAATCTCGAGCGGAGATAGAAAGAGTGAGAAAGGGAAAATGAGAAGGGAAAAAGGAAAGAAGGATGGAGAAAGGGAGAGAAAGAAAGGAAACGCGGGCTAAATATGCTATAGAGCAAATATTAAAAGTTCACGGCAGTTTTTACGCCCTACGTTTAAAGGCGATTACGGAAGTATAATCGCAGCAACCGTCCTTTCATGTTCTTCGCGCACATTTTTCTCTCGAGTATTTTCGAGGCGAAAGTTTGACGTGCTGACGTATGTGTACGATCACCGCATCAAAGTGAAGTATTGATGCACGGTATCGACATCAACCAAGTGTTTTTCTCTGTCCGAGTAAAATTTTTGAAAATTGCATTTCAACACGGGGAAATTATTTAGCAGCATGTTTGATTTGATTATCGATATAATATGTTCAAATAATTCGCGACAAAAGTGTTTAGGTAATTGAAGTTCAATTGCGTCCCATTTGTTCCGACGATACACGTTGCAACGATAATCGACATTAACTATGCAAATGCGCAAATGGACGATGGAGAACTTTAACACAGGTGTACATCAGCTATTCGCATCGGTAAATACATAAAATGCGATGACAGGTATAATTCATCGGCTTTTGAATCGCCTCACGTCCGTTATTATCTACGTGTTCTAAGTGCTTGTTAATACAGTCGAATATATATCATATTATGCTGTTAAATTGCATTCTCGTCAAACGGGAAATACGCTCTCTTTTATCTCTCTTTTTCCTTTCTTTTCCTCACATGGGAAGTAATCGGGACAGACGTATTTTACGGTATTGCACGGAGCTCCTCTTGCTCCGCTTGAGTTTTTCTTTTTGATGCATATACCGAGCTACGTCGCAATACTCAGACTGTACGTAATAGGGACGACATAACGCGAATGTCCTGCGACGGAAAAATCCGCTCCCAACAATGACAAGCGAAATAGACGAACAAGACATTCGAGAAATCTCCTGGGGTTTCCTTTTAATGTTTTGACGAAGGTTTCCGTTACTTCGAACTGTAAGATCGTACCGATATTTTGTGTCGTGATATTTTCTACACAACTTATGTGTTCATTTGTGTCTCGCGGTAACTAGAGATCAGAGGCAACATAAGGTAAATGTTAGAGAATAAATGTTTTTAAAATAAATTTTATAAAGATAATTTCTTCTTCTCGTTATTTGTCGATAGAATTTTATACGCATGCGGTGAAATTAATGTATAATTTCACAACAATTCGTTTATTTCTATGGAAACTGTTTATCCGCTTTAACGGTATGGCATTAATTGGTTTATCATGAATATGTAATGATATGTATCTCTTAATGTATCATGTGACGTTATCGTAATATCGTATTTCATTGATTATTGCATAAACAAATACACATGAACCACAATTATGCGATAAAATAGAATTGCTATAAATATCGTAAAGGATAAATTTATAACACTGTTAGATATTAATTTATTAAAAACAAAAGATTATTATGACATAAGTAGAAAATTATTAGAAATATTGGAAACTCATTTTTAAATCTGAAAATATTCAATTCTAAAACAATGAAACAGTGACTTGAATGTAATCGCCGATATTTTTGCTATCATTCCAATTCGCCATATAATTTCTTAGCGATCTGTTTGAGCTCCTTCTTAGCGATCTTCCCCGTGGCCGTGCGAGGAAGTCTTTGCATGAATTTAACTCCCGCATGCAACCTACAGTACCACGGCATGTTCTGCTCCACCAAGTTGGTTATGTCGAGCTCCGTCATCTGAAATTTACGTGAGAAATTGTGATGTAACGTATGTAGGGCAAGACGGTGAAATTGGGGGCTTGCAGTAAATTGAAGCTGCGCACGCAAAAACAGACCAATTCTCTTTTTGGTAAAAGTGAATGAACGCGAAGGATTTATGTAGGCCAACCTTCTCTTCGGAGATAAATCAAGCAACGAAGTACATGAATTAGGTGCTTTGAGTATCGCGCAAAATGTAAGAAGTTTTTGCAGATTTGGCGGAAAATAAGTTTTTCAAAGAAATGTCGGTGTAATTAATAAATGTTAAACATTCTATTATTTTTGGAAAATAATATTTTTCTTGCTATTTTCTTAAAAGTGTAACAGTGTAGAGATTAATTTAACTGAAATATAGATATAATTTCTAAAATTACTTTATAGGAGAAAAACAAAAAGTTCCGTAAAAGATTTCGCGCAATAATCTAAAAGATTAAAAATATATCTGATATTGATATTCGAATTTACATTGTAAACTTAAAATTATTAGAACAATTATACCTCTTTGCCGGGTACTTTAGCAACAAAAGCCATAACGTGTTCCTCGTCGATATCATTCGGTACTCCCACCACGGCAATTTCGAGGACTGCGGGATGTTGTTGAATCAAAGCTTCGATTTCCGCGGGCGATATTTTGATGGCTCTATAATTAATAAATTCCGACAATCTGTCGACGAGGAAGATTTCACCGTCGTCGTCGTAGTAACCGAGATCGCCGGTATGTAACCATCCTAAAATTGATTGCAAATTCAAATTTTGCCATTTTTAATCATTTATATAAAAATACCTTAATTGAAAAATACCTTAATTGAAATAAAATTATTACATAGTATATAAGCAAGGTATGCTAGCTTTGAAACGTTGTATATTTTCGAATTAAAGTCCCTGGTCTAAACAATTCGACGACAGTCGAACTATTTCATGCTTACCGTCCGAATCGATAGCGTTCTTCGTGGCTTCAGGATTGTTGTAGTATCCATTCATCATGTACGACGATTTAGCCCATATTTCTCCGGTTTTGTTGGCCCCCAAGACCTTCCCCGTGTTAGAATCGACCACTTTCAGCCGTCCTGTTTCGCACACAAATCCACAGCTGCCTGGTTTACTGTATTTCGTCTGACGGGCGCATAATCCACCGTAATCCGTCATTCCTACGAGCAATTTGTGCAAATATCGTTACCGTTTTCCTTCGCGTCATGTACCCATCTTACGTACTTTAGATAAGAGCGCTATTTAACTTGTACTTATACGTGTATAATCAACACTTGAACGCGGTATTCATAAGATACGCGATAACGTCTTATTACAGCCTCGATAAGTCTGTAACTTACCGTAACTCAGTATGACACTTGTGTGCGGCAAAAGTTTCCTCAAAGTCTGCTGCAACTCCCCTCGGAAATGTGCGCCGCCAAACAAAAGGATTTCCAATGTTGGTAGTCGGTACTTGCTTAATACGGCAAACTTTACTAGCCGAATGGGGAAGCAGGAATCGCATCTGAACCAGGATACCTGAATGCAAAACGACGCCGTTAAACTCGAACGCTTCTGCGGTATTACCTGCACGCGGCAATAAATCACGCGGTGCAACTATCACGGTCGGCAGTGGATGCGCCTCGATTTGGATTTCGTGTTATCCTTTAGCAGATTCGTCGCGTGACATAAATTAACACAAATTAACGCGATCGTGCGGGCGTAATATCGCGTGAAATACTCCCCGTTGCAAGAATGTCTATAAATAGAAGTGATAACGCGAGCAGATGTTGCGTGTGAAGAGTGCATTAAATTGGATGATGTATATCGCCAAATATTACATTTTATCTTCGTCGCGTAAATTCTCAATTAATTTATTCGCGCGTCGCTGAAAAATACGCTTCATAAAGAATTTTAAATGATCGATCCGTGCTATTAAAATCGTTGCTATTAAAATCGCTCGCGAAAATTGCGCACACGTAATTGCCATTATTCATAAATACATTTGACGACTATTGATTAATTAATCGTTGTTATCAACGCTTTAAAGAGAAGATATTTCGATTCGCCATTAATGTCCAATTAGGCGATATGTATCCGCGATGTAAATGCAATTACTCGCCTTGTACTTCTCAATGAAGTAGCACAGCTCGTCGTCGTCATCGCAATCCGGGACTATAATCCTTTTCGAACAATCCAGGATAGCTTTAATGACGATGAACAGGCCGCAGTACCAACGCATGGAAGGCGTCCACATGGATACGTGTCCTCTGAGATCGTGGATTCGGACATGATTCATGTAATTAATCATGGATGCATGACTGATCTCAGTGCCTTTCGGAAGGCCGCTGGTGCCGGACGAGCAAACGATCGTGGCGACCTGATCCGGGCTCGTCAGCTCCGCGCATTCGAATTTGTCGATCGCCGCGGCGTCCCGGGACCGCAGGATGCTCGTCAGGGACGCGCTCTCGAATTCCGCCAATTCGCCGAATACCACTAGCCCAGTGTTTAGCTTGTCTTCCTTGATGACCTGCGCCAGGCATTTGACCGATTCGATGTTCACGAATACTATCTTCGGTTTCGTCAGTGAGAGGAAGTAACGCGCGGTCGCTAAAACCGCAAAAACAATCGTGAATAGTTCCCGCGCGCAAAAAATTCGCGGTGACGCCACTGTTTACGTTGTCATATCTGCGCGATAATAAACACGTTTGCATGACGTTTTGAATTCGCGGCAAAGATAAAAGCGAAGTCAGAATAATTCGTGACGGATTGATGAAAAAAACTGATTCGATAAAAAGGAGAAAGAAAAGAAAAAAAGAAAATGAGATGCTTTGCAGCGGCGTCGTTTTCGACGCGTGAAAATCAGATTTTTTTCGTCGACCGGTGGCTTAATGCTTGTCGCGAAAAAAGCGCGAACAAGCTGTAAAAGCGAGAGAAAAGTAACGTACTTGGGGAAAGTTCGTTGTCCCACGGGTTGCTAATGGCGCCGACGTAGAGTGCCGCCAGCAGCGGTACGTATGACTCCAAGTGATTGTGAGTGCAAATGCCGATTACGTCGCCCGGTTGAACGCCCTGCTCTCTCAACCATAGCGCACATTTCACGCTTTTCTCCGTCATTTCCGCGAAAGTGGTCTCTGTGCCCGTAACCGCCTCCACCTATATACGTACGTCGTAGGTTCACAATCGAACGAACGGGGATTAAGCGGCAAATTATGGCAAAATTTACGTTGAAGTCTATCCCACGGCGTCTCCATCGATACTTTTTCACGGGATAAACTGTCCACTTACCTGCGCAACGAACTTTGGGTTGCTTCGCAGCTTCTTTAACACTAATGTTCCGACATTCGTGCATTCCTTGCGAATCGATATTTCCTCGCCGATTAAAACATTGTTTTCTACTCTAAACGTGAGAGTATCCTATAAACACGTGTAACAAATTCAATGATACGACAATGATTATAAATTAAGAGTTTAAACGAATATAAAAATTTATTAAATTTAATACCAAAAAATATTAACGATTTGGACGTTTAATAACTCTTAATATTAATGTTATCTTTTTGATAATATCTTTATCTATCTTGATTTACCTTTAAATCATCCATTGTGGAATATGATAAAAACACTTGACACGTACTTTAAAAATTACAGGAATATATTGCATATATTTGAAAAATGATTCGCGAGAAATGTATTATACCGGCTGCACTGTGTCTTTGCGTATGATTGCGCTCTTCTGTTTATGAGTTATGATGATATATAGTTGTGATATACAGCACTTCAGGAAGATAGAGGGGATTTAAATTTTTCAATACTCGACTGTACTCGATTCTTTCTTCGTGATAATATTGTGTGCATAAATATTTTCTTGATAAAACAGATAATCTTCACTCTATAGACATTATCGAGGCGAGAATCTAAAAAGAGAGAATCATTAAGAAAAAATTCTCGTTTACAAAACTTTACAAAACAATGCTGTTGTAATGTCTATATTGAGGCAAGATAAATATTTGTTGTATGCAAAATTTACTATTAGATATGCACGTCATCCGCAAACATTGTTCTCTCTCTGTCGAATAATCTCGAATCTTTGAACAAATGTCGCGATTTAACTCCAATCGAACAAAGTGTTGCAAAAAGCACACATTTTTATATTTAAAAAATATCAAACTATATCAGTAATAATCAGTCGATTTATATACGAATAAACATCGAAGATATTACTTTACAATGATTACTTTGAAAGATTTTTAAAATAGAATGTAATAAAATTGTATGTTAAAGATTATGTATACTTAAAAGTAAGATTTCAAAATTTTTTCAAGGATGCTCTTATTTTTTAGAAACAAAATTTTTTAATCGCTTTAAAGTTACGTTTTATCTGTAATTAATTATAAATTCAATAAATACAGTTTTCTGCCATTTTTTTTCATTTTTCTCAATTATATGTCTCAGAGACGTATGACCATAAATTATGGTAGTGTAAGGTAAGGTAGTGTTTAACTATTGTTCATATTTGCAATTAACGGTGCATCAGTTTCTATTTCCTTTCATTCGGCAACTTGGCATAGTTTATCATCGCGCTGAGAGCGACGTTGGATGTCTAATTGGATAGCGCTGGTCGTCGGTTCCACTAAGTTCTAACCAATTTATGAATGCGGCAGCGTGACACGGGAGTGCACTATGCGGCCGCTGACTCAAGGTGGCAGGAATGTTCCTGTTTCTCGAACTTTCCTTTGGTATATCGACAATCTCAATGCCCTTCTCTTCATCCACTGTCCTGCTGTCAGTTCTCATTCATCTATCGCATTCGCGACGTTATCGTTAATCTTTAAACACTTTGTGTCACAAACACAATCTCGAGATTATTGCCGGGGATTTTGTACTTATATGTTTAAAGAGATATTCTATGTATATCAGATAAATACGTTATTTCGCAATGGAAATTTCCAAAATTGCTTAATATGCGTGTAAAAAGATATTCTTATTAATTAAATATTACTTTAACGGCTTGTTTCACGTATTAAATAGATAAACTTTTTATAGATCTTTGAAAATGGTAAACATAATGGATAACAGCTTTAGATTTTCGTACTTGAACGTTTATGAACGTTTAGTGAAAAATCGATTGATATAAATCGATTTATTTATCGATAGATAAAAGAAATCAAAGTCTTATATCATCGTCATGAGAATAGAAAAAGTTTAATAAATTGTTAAAAATTCTATACTTGCAATCATATAACGTTTCATCAAAACATGTCATAATTCGCGTTCAATTAAACTTGAGTTTTACTTGGTTGATCTCTGTCTTTTACTTTTCTCTTGTTGCTTTATTATATATTGCAGGAAATTTTTTAACGAATGAATTATATATTCTATGATATTATTATGTAATAATGGATAACATGACGTTTTTTACAAGTAATTCTTTCATAAAAATAAAATATTATTCAAAGTTTTATTAAAATAAAATAATGAATTGTGATTTTTTGGATGTTTTCAAACGGGAAATAAGTATAGTGTATTTGATATATTGTGATTGTGTGATATAATTCCTATTGTTTATGACAGGTAGTTATTGCATTGTAAATAAACACATTGCAATATGATCTCACAGGCGCAGTCATCGCGTCCATTTAATTATACAGATCCATTTCCTCTGCTGTTCCATTTATACATCGGAAAATTGTTCTAAAGATACACTATTCATCTATTTTGACGCAAAACAGCATATCTAAGTTATGCACGGTCTGTTCCGCCATTTTGCAACTCTAAAAAGAATATTATGTTAGTTAATTAATTACGTAACTAATTACTTTTGTCTGAAGGAGTGCAAATAATTGCAACACAATTAAATTACAATTTATTAATTCTTCGTTCTTTTTGTTATGAAATATAAAACGCTTTTGAGTATCAATGCCTCTCACGTTATAAAATACGAAACTGTTAATGCGATATCTGTACTGCAATTTTAACTTCAACTTTCTGAACACACAGAAACAATTTCACGAGTCAAGGTGTGTAACAGCCGAACGGACTGTCGCTTCTAATATATATCTGCGTAGCTTACATATTACACGATTCACCATAAGCGTGTATGGTGACTATGACGGAACAACATGGCATCCGACAATTTCCCGTAAGCATTACAAAACAGTCCTCACGGGAAGGGCAAGAGCTCGAATCCTTCAATATTGAGGTAGCAGATACAGAGAGCGACGCGAGCTTACTGTATTTACTGAAAACTCTGGTAGCGTTGATTTCGCTCCCACGAGCTTTGATGTGCCACGTAATTCAAACCGGCGAGGAGAAATTTAACGAGCGGCAAATAAGCTCTCGGGTACGCTTTCTTTCTCTCTCGCTCGCACGTTCCGTTTCGCACTTTGTAATACTCTCACTTTCTGAAAAACATTTAATTTTGTGTAATAATCGCTTGACTTGTGTCTATTATGTTTTTCTTCGTGTGCCAGAAATTATGATTGAAGGTTAATTTAAGTATTTCAAACATTTCAATTTAAAAATATGCATGTGTAAATGAAATATTTCTTCAATTTTTCCCTTTATAAATCGTATTTTAAATGATTTTTTCAAGTTTATCGATACGGTTTTCTTGGATATATAATTTATTTCTTATAGGTTCTATTTATTATTTGTTTTCCTTAGTTCAAAACATAAAAGAGGATAGTTTTTATGCTGAGATATTTTGTATATACACAACGTTTGTGTAGAGAAGAGAAGATTAATTATCGATTATATATGAACTAAAGACGGGATTCGTACATGAACATGACGGCGTGTCATGAAAGCTTCACGTCCATTGCTTGAACTTATCTTTTGAAGACAAGACTTGCTTTTGATCATCGTCAAGCGGCACAGGCGGCAAAGCGAACTATCGGCACGAGTCAGAGGTCAAATTGAATTCGAGTATTGGATGCAATATGTGGCTGTGACATGAAAGCAGCGAGAGAAAGGGACTCGCGAGGCACCGCCGTGTGTTTCCCGAAGAAGTTCTCGGGGGAAATCTAGGATTTCCCTTCGACCAGATGTGTTTCTGCGACCGATAGTTGACCTGCCTTAGGACTACAGCTTGCTGCCGACCGTGGAATTGCTTCCGCGCCCCGTTATCGATACGCCTCTGCTATCGATACGCTTACGCCGTCCTTAATTATGTCCGCTGCCTGTCCCGCGGCCATCGACGTTATCTCGTGTCCCTTCCAAAGGCCCCTGCGATGGGGTGGAATTCAATTCGGGGCCGTTAATCGTCGCGACACGCTTCGTTCGACACAGGCGTGTTCGAATGTTTACACGGCGACGCGACGCGCGCAACAACGACTAATTAGACGGCGGTATAATTAGGCTGCACTGTTAATTCGATAATTCATGTTTCTGAGAGTAGACGTTCTAACATCTAATTAACTTGTTCACAGGTTCTCTTTTGTCGATAGTCGGCGACAATGGCATCACTCGACGAGGATTGCAAATATAGGAGAAAAAGGAAGACGGTGGCTGATAACGGTAAGTAAACACGATTGTGACAAGATAATCATAATTTTAAGAAATATATAAGGTGATCTGCAGAACAATTTAAAGAATTGAAACATTTTCTATCTATTTTGGACAATGAGTATTTTGACTTTTTCTAAATTACTCTGTATATAACATTCCGGGTGTATAAAAGTAAAAGTGACATCAATATTGCGTAATTGTACATAATATTCAAATTAATCGTATAGTATTTTTAATCTGCAAAGAGGAAACATATACGTGTCGACTTGATTTAAAAGAAATAGAACGATCGGAAATAAAATTCTCCGCACCACTTCGCCCGGTTTATCGTCGTTCGTCGCTTGATCAAACGTCCCTTAAACCATCTCTTCGAATTCCATTCCGGCGGTTCAATCTGCTAAGTAACCGGATTTAACGTGCGTCCCGAACGTCCCAACTCGCGTCAGGAAGCTCGGAATTCCTGGATTCCTTTCCATTGTCAGAATTTGTTCACGAGACGACGTCGATGACATTTTTCGACCGCGTCACTTGCTCGGGCTATCTCGCGATCTCGTAATCCTATCTCCGGTCGTCATTAATTTCATCCGATCTTGTCTATAAAGCAGGGAATCCTCAATTTGCGGCTGACGGGTGAAATAATAGCGGGGTCGCTGGATATAGCCGGAGCGACGAGATTCCTTCGCCTCCATCAACTTAATGATATCGTGCCCGAAATATCACAGAGTCATCGATGCGACACAATAGCTAAATTGTGCACCACGATAACACTAACAGACGCGGTAAACTCGCTTCTTTATTACATCCCTCATTATGCTTCGTCTATCATTATTTCGAAATTATTAGTTTCACTTTTTAAGATGTAACGTTCTTATTAAGAGATTTAGAATATTAACGATGCTGACATAAATAGATCATTTTTTTTACATATTTTTAAAATTAATATACACTTATTTTCTACAAAATTCGTATAAATTTTTAATATTTTTGTCATCAATTTTTTTTATATAAACATTCTATTTAATTTGCTGCAATATATGTTAGACTAACATAGCATCCGCGAAGGTGAATCAATAAGGTCATTTTAGATTTTATTAGATGAGATTGTGCTTTGCACGTTTATGTGCAATAAATCGCGAATGATCATTTTCGAGCATATGTCAAACACCGTTGTCTCTGCTCCTTGCGTTCCGTTTCTCGAGTACGCCGCTGTTCCGGAACGATCGCTTTGCGGGACGAGTGGAAAAGGAAACGCTTAATTACGAGTGCCAATTAAAGGTCCGAGTCCCGCGTAGTGCCAACCGAACGAGGAGAGGGTAATTTCCCCGTGGGCGAGCAATCAGCCTTTCGCAAGCAGCTATAATTCGATCGTTTCCTTGATTACACGAGCGCCTCGTCTCGTTGAGTTCGCTTCGTTCTTCGCTCCTTTCGCGGCCGCGCTCGCGCTTTGTCGACCGACAGCAATGTCCTCGGACAGCATAAATCGAATTACAGTTTGCAATCGATACAACAGGAACTCAAGTCGGGAGATGGCTCGGATATACGAAAAGTTTTAGTGTAAGCCGCGCGCTTTTAGCTGCGAAAATCCAGTAAGGAAAATTTCGTTAATCCAAAATTGATTTTCTCGTATTTCTAATTATGTGTACAATTTTCTTATATTACAATATTGTATGGTGATGCGCACATTCGAAAATTTTTGCACATCGTCGAGATCTATTTGTTTTCACGAGGTCAAAATAATGTTATGAGAGATAATAAAATAGTCCCCTGATTTCTACAAGAATTAAGTAAGTAAATTAAATAATAAGAAATAATTGTTTTTCGAGCTTAATTAATTCGCTATACTTAATTCCATTCCGTCCAGCTCAATCTGAATAATTCGCAGTGCGCTAGGTGGCTCTCATCCGATTAACGTTATCACGAGCATCGTCGGCCGGATAAAGATGTTACGAGTTAGTTAACTGGGCCGATTTAATGACGGTCGCGGGGCAACTTTTCTAGTTCATCTGGCGCGGTGGATCCGGCTCGTTTCGATGTATATCAACCAAGAGCTACGTTATGAGCGAGCTACCGGGGAGAAGCTGGCAAGTCGTTAAGTCTCTCGTCCCGTTCCGAAATCATGTAATTTCATTTAAACTGCCGGGGTGGAGTCAGTTAAGCCAACTAAATTTAAAAGTTCTTTTTCCGCGGCGCGTCGGACTTTCGTATATTATATAGCGAGAACGGATGCGTCCGTGCCCCACGGCGCCGAATTTCTTAATGAAGTTTGCGGGACTTTTAAAGACCTCGGAGGCATTCCCAACTCGGAGATACGACGCGGCCGCGACCGCTTAACTTTCCTCATTCGCAACGACACGTTATAAATTACGCGAAAAAACGTCTGCTCGGGCACGCTAAGTCCTGCGAGCGGACCGCGCCTGATATAAACGGTTCGCGGGACGAGCGTCAGCCGGATTGAATTTATTGCACTTATTCCACTCGCGCTGCGCCCGATCGTGCGAATGACGATAACGATCGCGTCAGTAGGATAAAGTTTCTATTTCGGACCGGCACGAATCAGCTCGTGTGCAATCTAGCAAAAATCGAAAGATATATATAACGCCAGAGAAATTTAAATCTGACCGATCTGATTTAATAATACGAACAGATGGACGTCAAAAATTTTTCGTTCGAAATAGATCTTGATTAGAGAAGTAAAAATTTTGTTTTATTTTCTTGAACTATCTGATTAAGTTAATAAATTACTGCCCACGCTGAGATTTAAGAGAAAACTTTAACGATAAACTTGTCAATATTTTCCATAAAATATCATTTTATAAACAGTATTCTTTTTACAAGTATCAGATTAAATAGAATTGGTTATTATATACTTTTTTCCCTCTCTCTTATTAAAGAGGAAAAATATCGATGGCAAATTGATGAAGAAATCTTATAAAAATCAGAGTAGAAATAGCCCGCGGTGAATTTAAAATCAAGGTTTGGAAATATCTTATATTTCCCATAATGCAAACACAAGAGAATTTTATTCCGCACGTTGATTCAATCAGCCGTATTTTGTAATAAAACGTGGAATTTCACGAGTCACCAAATATTTTCCAGCTGTAAGGGTTCGCGAGCAATATCGCTTTATTAATCCCGTTTCATGATAACATTAATTACCGTATCGCTGTCTCCCGGCGTCTTTGCCCTCTCCTTTTCCCGCCGGCCGCGAGACGAGCCCCGATAAAGAAGGGCGGAATATCCGAAAGAGCGGAGGAAAACGGCGCCGCTCTCGCTTCGCCGGAGAAAACTTTTTCACTTTGTCTCGCCGGTTCGATATAAAGCAGAATATTAACGTCGCGCTGTATTTCGAGTAATATTCCACGACCGTCACCGCGCGCGTTCCTCCGTTTTCGTCCCTCCGCTGGTTCCGACGTGTTTTTTCCCCCGCTTTTCATCTCTCCGCCGCGACTCCCGCTCCATTTAAACGCGGCGATATTTCTTGCCGCTCGGTTTTCTGTTTAAAACCAGTCGATACGGACTCCTTTGGTCGTGAAGTGTAGTTCGTGGCGATAAATTTCATTTCTCGCCGTAACCTCGCGACTAGCACCGACGGTGTCTGATTACGTATCGGATGAAATTTCGCTCGTCTTCTGTCATCTTTGTTTCGCGTATTTTACGCGGCGATTTTCCGCATGTTTGGTCTTCAATTCCCAGTTCAGCGAGAGCCCTCGTTCTCGATCCGAGCTCGCGAACGATCGATGGTGTCCTTTCCGAGTAATAACGTTTACTTGTTCTCCTACGAGCCTTCTCTGCGAACATAAAATATGCAGGAGAAAGCGAGAGCGTGGTAAAATTCAAAACGCGGATACCGGAGGAATCGTAAAAACGTCGCTTTTAATATTCGATTTTTATTCTACATTTTTACGCTTTTTATACATTTTACACGCAGCTGCGAAGATCTGCGCCGAGTGAGATCCCATGCGATGTTGTCGCAGATTTTTCCACTGTAGCGCGAAAGTTTGTATTACGTTTTGTGTTTAACTTTACAATGGACCGTGGAAAAGCACATTGTCTTGTTGCTTGCAGATAAACCAAATTTATTTTTTATATAAATATCATAAAGTGTAGAGTTTTACTATAGCTTGACGTTAAATGAATAACAAATAAAAAACAAACGTAAGCTTAAAACTTTGTGCTTATATACAACTCGCGCTTTTTATCCTTTTGCCTTGCACATTTCTTTCAACGGAAGCAAGAGCAAGACTCTCTTTTGCTTCGCGCGCTGACAGAAAGACGTTAATCTGACAGGGCGGTCATCAGCTATGCGAATGAATTCCTCCCTCCTCACGGCCACGTCTCGCAATAAACGACAATGCAAACAAACAGTGTTTTACATCGCACATGCTGCAAGTATCGAATTCTCGCTCTACAAGCAATTTACAGAGCGCTCGACAGACGAGAGCGCTCCACGTTATTATTCTACTCTCGTAGTCCGCCCGCTCGCAGTAATAGCGGCGCCAAAAGTCCGACTATCTAACACAATCCTCGTATGATAACACGAACGATGGAATGGCTCTTGTCTCCGTAGTGTGTGCGACGTAAAAAAAAGGAAAGGGAAAAAAGACACAAACAGAAGAGCTAAAAAAAGGAGGAAAGAGAAGAATGCAATCTCCCGCTCGATCGTTCCGATCAAACGATTTTGTCGACGAAAGCCGGGCACGTCGCGTCGGTTCGGTCCTTCGGTATGTCTAGCGAAGGGCGGAGGCCCTTTCGAAACCGGAATAATATCGGAGCGAGCGCTTACGAGCCTGAAGTGGGCGTCAATTTTCTCCGTCGAAATGCACGCCGTGCGCGGCTTGCAGCGAGCGCGCTCACGAAGCTAACGCTGCCGGCTTTGAACTTTCCGCGTGCTCGGGGCTTTATCGTCCGGCCGGAAGTAATTCGCATGCTAATCCCTCTTTGTCCGCGGGATGGACCGGGCAGCGCGCGCTCCCTGCGTTTAGATTACACGAAACGAAACGATGGCTTCT